AATATAACACTAATATAACCCCAATATAACCCCAATATAGCCCTAATATAACCCTAATATAACCCTAATATAACCCCAAGATAACCCTAACATTACCCCAATGGGTATTGTTGGACCCCAAAGCCCTGAAGGGGTGTTGCGAGCGAGCGAGGTGGGAATAATTACGGCCAGCTCGGCATCGAGGACCCCGCAAAAGCCAAGGCGAACAGGGGATTCTTCCTTAGGGTTTAGGGTTTAGGGTTTAGGGGTATAGTCCAAACTCCTTAAAGGGGGGTTCTATAGGGGAATATATAAGGGAATAGTATAGGGGTTATTAAGGGGGATACTAGGAGTTTAGACTATGGCTCATATAGGGGTTATCTCAGGGTTATATGAGGGAGATATTGGGGTGATATGGGGATAATGGAAAAGAAAATGGAAACTACTGTTTAATATCATACCCATAATATACCTACAATATGCCTATAATATATCCATGATATACTATGATAGACCTACAAAATACCTATATGATGTGGTACGGCTGTACTGTACTCCGTGTTTGGAGCGGGCGCGAAGGGTTCGTTCCTGCAAGGTATGGATTAGGTAGGAGTTGCTAGAACTGCTATGGCAGTTTCCCTACATAGAGGGACCACAGTATAGATCCCCAAATAATATAGTCCTTATTCCAGGGACGCCCAGTATGATACCCCTAATCCTTATTCCGGGGACGCCCAGTATGATACCCCTAGTTTTGGGAAACCCCCAGATGAGAACAGCACGATGATATGAAATTCCTCCGCTTCCGCAAAGGGATCAAACTGTTGGAAAGTGCCATGCTGTGCCACTAGGCCTCGCCAGTTCCTGTGCAACTGCCGCTGGAAGAGGCTGAGGCCCAGTTGAAACGAAACTTGCAAGTCATCATCGCTTTGCTTCTTTATTTGAAATCTGGGAAGAATTTTCAGAACATCCTTAGTCTGATGTCAAGCCCTGGCAGTCTCCATGCCCGATGCCCTCCACGTATGCTGTACCAACCCCACAAAACACTACAGTAGTAGCCGGAAAATGGAAAAGAACATGGAAACTACTACAATGAGTTATATAGGGATGATATAGGGATTATGTAGGAATAATGGAAAAGAAAATGCAAACCACTCTCTCTCTATATATATATACACACATATATACATGACCATATGTATATACAAATATATATATATATATATGAGCTATAGTCTAAACTCCTAGTACCCCCCCTGAATACCCCTATTGTAGTCCCCTATATAATCCCCTATATAACCCCCTTTAAGGAGTTTAGACTATGGCTCACATATGTGTCGTATACATCTTCAGGTGGTGGCAGCCCTAAGCTGTGGGGCCCACCATGCGATCTGCCTCACCCGAGATGGCCAGGACGATTTCACGGAGGGAGGGGAACAGTCGAAGACCAGAGACCTAAACCCTAAGGTTTAGGGTTTAAAGGTTTAGGGGTTTAGGGTTGAAGGGTTTAGGGTTTAGGGTGCAAGGGTTTAGGGTTTAGGGTTTAAGGGTTTAGGGTTTAGGACTATTATTACTATAACCATTCCCTCCGAAGCACTAACTACGCAGTCCCAGACACTTTTTAGGGTTTAGGGTTTCTTCCTTGCAAGCTTAGTTGAAGTCTTAAGCCATCCCTCCTGATTTTAGAGTAAAAAGCACATTGTGCAAAATCACCAGCGGTCAGTGCTGGTGCTTGTTGTGCCTGCTGTGTTTTTCAGGAGAGCTGCGTGTGGGTCTGGGGCTGCGCATCGTCCGGGCCGGACGACCTTCATGATGTTGCTAACTGATATGTTTCTGATGGATAGGGATAACTATCATGCAAACTACCCTAAACCCTAAACCGTAAACCCATATGGTATACTGGGATTATATAGGGATCATGCCGGTTAAAGTTGGCGTTTGTCACCTGTAGTTTCCCTATCAGTAGTGGCTGCTCTCATTTGATTGATACCCTTTTTTGTCTGCCAGGCAGTGTGGACGCGAGGCTTGTGAGCCAGAGATGGAGAGCTCCTTTGTTCAGATTTGTGTAAGGACTTAATACTTCTATTATTGTTAAGGAACTGTTACATAATACTACTATTCTTGTTAAGGAGCTGTTACAATCAGTAATAGAATTCCCATTACTACTTGTACTGCTTTTACCTTAACAAGTGAACCCGCCTGTTGCTTCAGAGCTGTTGACCGTTGAGCCTTTGTTCTTTGAGTTTGCTGCTCCTGTGATGCCTCGGAGGCAGCGGCGGAGACACAACCCAGGCAGGTACTCTAGCAGGGCTAGTCCTTGCGTGGCTGCTTATGTCTGCTTGGCATTGAATTCCTGATCCTGATACTTTTTTAGGCCATAAACCCGAAACAGTAGTTTCCATTTTATTTTCCATTATCCAAATATGACCCCAATATAGCCCCTATACAAGGGGACTAGTCTAAATGCTGCTTGGTTCAACAAAATGCTGAGAGCGCTTGGCCTGCAGACCCCTGAAGCTGAGCGAGTTCGCGCCGCCTTTGCCACACCAAGCGGTCTGCACCCCACTCTTCCTGCAGCGAACTTCTGTCATTTCCACAATCCGGGTGCGTGTTCTTATGGGTTTCTTTTGGCATCATTATGGCACAAAGAAGTAGCTGAAATTCAACCACCCCTTTTATCTTCGAGAGATGACCTACAGCCCCAAATGGCAGAGCCTTTGAAGGATGCGAAGCTGTACGCGGCCTCGAAAGCATCTAAGCATCTGAAATGCACTCCCCGGTACAACTCCTTGAGCAGGCGAAGAAAAGTATGCTATCCTCAGGGTGTGGGATGGTGTGGGTATAATCCCCCTGAAGTAGATAGAATATGGCTTTGGGTATATTACAATAAGATCCCCGTATTCTATCTACTTAAGGGGGACTATGGGTTGTGATGGTTTCAAGTCTGCACCCCGATTTCTAAACCCTAAACCCTAAACCCTAAACCCTGAACCCTGAACCCTGAACCCTGAACCCCAAACGCTAAACCCTAAACCCTGGTATCCACAGCCCAAGCTTTGTCTTCAGATTGCTGTGGCCGCCGGGCGTTGCCACTCGGCGGTGTTGGCCTTCACCGGCACCCCTCAGTGCAGCTGCCACTGATTGCGAGCGACGTAGGGGTTCTAAGTTGGTTGTATGGTCCCCCTTAAGTAGATAGAATATGGCTTTGGGTATATTAGAATAAGATCCCCATATACCCCATACTCTATCTACTTAAGGGGGACTATACCTTCATGCGCCAACGGATGAGCTCAGAGAGCTTTACAGGGATCATGTTGCATAGAGCTCTATATTGGAAACTGCTGCATGTTGATGCAGGGAGATCGCAACAGGGTGTTCAGGCTGGCAGGTCAATCTACAATGCTCCACCCCCCCTTGGTGTGCCGGCGACAGCTTGGGATGCTAGATGATAGCTTAGCTTCATCGGAAGCAGAGGCCAATCTAGAAGCAGGTTTCAAACGAATTTTGCTGTGGCCAGCGTCAACACCTGAAACTCCAGCCAACCCCACACGCAGTCCATTCAAGGGAGTCATATTTGACTTTCCCTGGTACACTT